GAAATGCAAAATATAAATATTTTGATAAATTGGGATTTCTACTTGTCATCAGTAATTTGATTTTTTTTAATTATAAACATATCTGGTTTGGTGTGTTGTTTGTTTGGACAGTAACATTTTTTTTGAACGATCGACCTATATTTTTCACCTTCCTCTAATTATATGAGTGAGCTAACAAAATTTGTTGGCTGACAGTGTACATATTTCTCCCACCCTTGACCTATGGTGACACAACATACAATCATCCTTATGTTATCTAATAAATTCCTGTTGACACATAGAAAAACAAAAAACTAATACAATTCATTTCAGGCATACCGATCAAAAACGACCAAGAGTACCATTAACCTTGTTCAAGAAAAAGAATTGTCTTCAAACTCTGCAAGTAATTAGCCAGTTAATTGATACATCCTGTAGATCATATTTAATTGTGTACATGGGTAATTGTTATACTATGGTTCAGAATGGTTCAGAGTTTTTACTTACATGATTTATATATAACAATGCTGATTAAAACATAAAAAGATATATTGCTTTCATATGTGACTACTTATTATAAATCGTTAACGCCGAGTTTTCTACACGAATACTCTCAATAGATAATAGGACATAAAAGAACTTAGAGGGCAGAGTGAATCATTAGTAATTAAAATCCACTTCATGCCATCACGTTTTACCCTTTGGGGTTAACTGATGACTTTTGGAGTACCTGACATGTGTCTTTACATTGTTTCTAATACCTGATATTTATATTTTATATTTTGATTAACTATAATCATTGTGTATGTAAGTCTTGTATTATATAGTCTTTGATCAAAACTTTCATTTCTATATCTGAATAGAATAGAAGAGAATAGAAAAGAACAGAACAGAATAATCTTCATTTACCCACGTTTCATTTATTAATTCTAGACATAATGCGTTGTGTAAAACAGTACATCTTGTATTGACAACATTCTGTAAAACACATTTACCAGACGCAAAGTTTATTTTAAATTACCATAACTAAAGTAAGAAATAATCATCAGTCTTTCTTAATCTTTCGTTGAGTTATTTTGATATAAATTCCTGACGGAAGCAAAAAATCAAAGGAACTCGTCAATGATGATAAATCCATATTGTACTTTAGTCAGATTACATCATATAAGATAAAAGGAAATTAAAAATTGATCGTTCTTATATCAAGTGTCTACCTGCAAATCCAATAATAAGAAACTGCTCCAGGTACGTACACCTAAAAATTACAAAACAAATTTCTAATCGTACTTGCTACCAATGTACGAAAATATTTAATGTCAAATGAATAATATAATACATGTCTCCTCATTCGAGAAATCTTGGCAAGCCAACAAGTGGCATATTTGTTTGTTTTTTTGGTAACACACGGCAAAGTAGTAACAAATAGTTTTAAAGGCCCAATATGCCCCCAAAGTGATTTCATTTTCATATTTTAAAAGCTTTTTATTTTTGGTGTCCTGTTAAAATTCCAGCCCAACTAACTAGCCATTTATCTGAACCATTGTATGATTTTGTTGCATTTTGGCAGTTAATACATTACAACACAGATATATATATAATATTTAGCTCCATGATTACAGTTAGTACAGGTATAGTAATCTTGCAAATCAGACAGGATTATCTATACTATTCATACCGGAGTTAGAAAAACCTGTCTTACACCCTCGGGTTAGTTAATACAGATTTATTGACTTAGTATTGTGTATTGAAGTAAATCTTTGTTAACATTTTGCTATATTTTTGACGCTATTTTCTTCAAGTGACAAACATCAGACATGCTCTTAAACCATTATTTAAACGTTTTAAAACTCGTATGTGCCGTTACTAAAGAAGGGGAAAAATATAATCATCTCTAAGGGATAGGTTTAAGAATCTGTATTAATTTTACAGTTATGCGTTAAGTATCAAACGTTATTTCTCTTGAATTGATTTCTATGGTGCCCGAAAGTGTACATAAGAAATATTTTATATATTTCAAGGACATGAGATAGATACTATGTTGGGCACGAGATAGATATTTTTTGGACACAAGGTAGATATTATGTGAGCATGAGATATATATTATGTAGGCACGAGATAGAAATTCAGTGGACATGAGATAGATATTATGTAGGCACGAGATAGATATTACATGAACACGATATAAATATAATGTGGGCACGAGATAAATATTATGTGGACACGAGATAGCTATTATGTAGGCACATGATAAATATTACATGAACACGAGATAAATATAATGTGGGCACGAGATAAATATTATGTGGACACGAGATAGCTATTATGTAGGCACGAGATAGATATTATGTGAGCACGAGATAGATATTATGTGGACACGAAATAGATATTATGTGGACACTAAGTATATATTATGAGGAGACGAGATAGATATTATGTGGGCACGGGATAGATATTAGGTACGCACGCGTTAGCTGGTAGTACGTGCGCACGCGATAGTAATACGTCTACTCAAATGTTATACGTTCGCGAACATAGTATTGTATATGTTACGTTGCGATTGCGCATAGATAGGGAAAACCAATAGATTTTGACACATTTTGTATCATTAATTTGGGATATAATTCCCTAGCATTAATGGAATACACATCCAGAAGCTGCAACAAATTATGACAGTACACTCCGCAACATGTTTCAATGAACTTGTTATAAATTACTTACACAATTAATAGACAAACGTCCTCAAGAGCTAGATGAACGATACTATAAATAGATATAATGGTGTACTTTGTTTTGCCTGTAACAATGTATTGTGCTTCATGTTTAGGAATTTCAAGTCATCATTTCTCTTCCCGAGCTAAAACAAACATGTATATATGCATGCAAGCTTGAGTCCACAACATATTCATGACATAAAATCATAATATAAATGTTAATATATTTTAAGCCTGCAAATATTTTGTACAACTGTAATATCATTAATAGCGAATATAAACATAGGTTGCTAGATATATTTCAATATCACATTCTACATGCTTATATCATTCATAATTCGTAAACATGTTTCAATCATAGTTTTTGTTGTTGTTGTTGTTGACGACATGTCTAAAACATCATCTCATCATTGCTTCATATCCTTGCTGATCTACATATGTTAAGTTATTTTAAAAGTGGAACGCTCCACATCTCCATTCAACATGTGTGAATTTTGAAGAGAGTATTTCTTTGATTTTAGTGATTCGACAAAAATATATTTAAAAGGGAGTATATTATACGCTAGTTGGTACAAGGCAAATTATAACCAACTTGTTTTACTGTTGTATATTTTTGATATACTTAGTACAGCACGTGTGTCTTTTTTGTACACAATAAACTCTTTCAAAACCGGATTTTAAAAGAGAACATAAAATGTATAACGAATTTTAGCCAGATAATTGGTGGATAATGAATAAAAAAAGGAGAGTTTCTGGAATTCATTACCTGCAGATAATACTGCGTCACTTATATAACAGGTCGGTGTTTTCATCACTACAGAAAAATGTGCCAAAATATTAAATGTCAAGTGAATGACAAAACAAATTCTTATGTTATGAATATTGGCAAAAATAGTTTTCAGACAAGTGGCATATTTGTGTTTTTGTGAAGACGTGGCAAATTAACAAACAAACATCAAAGTGTTTCAATTAAGATTCCAAAAGTTTGCCTTGTTTTTTATGATATTTACTGCAAGTGGGACACAGGTAAAGAATCTCTGCAGGAACTCTTAAGAGTAAATGCACTTGAAATTATTTACATCTTATCTGTGAGATGTTTTTCTGCAAAACTTGATTTGAATGTCACTTACTTCATGTCTATTATAATAATTATATTGCATACCCTTGCAAAATATTTGGTATCTTAAAAACCGAGAATAGTTTTATCACTAACAGAAGCAGGTGCACTTCTACGAATGACGACACTTTAATATAAAACAAATAATGCAAGGAATAAGGAAGGGGGTGATAACAAAACACCCTGTCAATATTTAGGTTAGAGATAAGCAACAATTGTTAGTGGTATAGCTGTAACTGTGTTTGTTGATAGTAAAACTGACATTTGTTGTAAAATGTCCAAACACATTAGTACTCTCAGTTAAAATATGCCAACTTGAACACACCTTAGTTGTACTTTTAGTCAATTGTTTTTTTCGTCTTCAGAATTTTCATGTTGAAAAGTATACGTGCGGGACTAAACGTTTTATAAAAAATTAGTTTGTTGGAAACTATCAAGTATTATAATAAAGTAAAAGAATTCGTATCTTTATAACAACGGCCGTTTTCGTCAGACCATGTTAAATGTGACCTTCGCCTATATTACTACGCACATGAATCTACAATAAAAACGCGGTACATCAACTCACATTTGACTGCCATACATAACATTTTACCGCTAGCATTTATTACAATTATATAAAATTATAAATATAAAAAAACTAGCAAAATATCCATTCTTTTTTTATAAAATATAAAAAAAGTATAAGACAGCTTAATACACACATACACATACAAAAACATGATTTTATACAAAGATAATTTTATCTTATGATTCTGTATGACGCAAACAATATTCTGAACATATTCTTTAAAAAATGAGTTTTTCATATCCCTCAACTCAACATCAAATGAGTAAAATAAACATGAATTCTGTAAATAAATAGACATGCCATTTTTCATAGAATTTTCTATGTTTTCGATATTTAAGGTAAAATTTGCTTGCTTAATTCAGAAAGCAAACGAAACATATATGTTGACGTGTTACATTTTCTGTAAACGGGTATTTTCCATTGTAACCACATATGCCAACTATCATTCCTTTAGAAATGATAGTGTTGTATCAAATAGATTACTATATCTAACAACAAAAACAAATAAGAATATAAATTACTTTTTATATTTTTTTGTTATATGAAGTAAAAATAAATAAAACTTTAAAACTTTAATAAATAAATTAGATAAATTATTAAATTAATGTTTTTAAAACGGCCCCAATATTATTCTTCACTCTACAAAAGAAAGAAACTAATCAGTTGGTATTCCTAAATAAATGAAGAAATGAACATTTCTTTCATGGATTTAATTTTTTCTGTTGATGTTTCTTTAAATGTACCATTTAAACGTCTTTTACTGCATGTCTGCCTTTACAATCAAGTAGCGACGCACTTATGCCACTGCCATTACTGGGTGGTGTGACGCGCCCGTAATTATCACCAATGCTGTCATACTAATGTTAAAAAGAATACCGTATCTGATATTGTCCAACCATCTCTCGTATTATTCTTACCCGTTCTCCTTCTATTCAAATAAATTCTTTGTGAAGGGTAACTATCCGTGATTATCTCCCTTGCAAGCGCAGTACGATGCGCACAAAAAACAACCGAAAACGTCTTTAAGTACTAAACTTGTGTTACCGGGATCCGTTTGTGGATAAGAAAGTAAAGGAGAACATTAATTTTATTAATGAAACTAATAAAATACACTATAACGAGGGGTTATCCAAAAAATCTAGGACTTTTTTTGTTGCGTAAACTATATTTAAGATATTGATTTGAAATTCTTACACTGCTTGGGGGAATTTATAGCCAATAAACACAGGAACATTTATGTTAGTAGCTTCTTATATTACAACAGTATTTCATTTTACATGAGCACATGTCGTCGACAGCGGCGCACTCCAAAATAATATTGGCGTCAAGGTCAATTTAACGTACAATGTTTTCTTCAATTACGCAGTCATGACCGTTACTGCTTTTCAAAGTAATGTCCGTTTTCCCGTCCATCACTAAATCTCTTATGCCACTTAAACACTAATAATCGTGAAATTTTGTTTTTTTTCTGTTTGCCTGCTGAATTTAAAATAGTTTTTCTATGTGTCATCCAAAATTACAACAAAACTTTTTTTATCTCCGCGTCCGTCATTTTCCACAGTAAACAATATCGGCGGCTGGCTTTTCGAACGATAACAAAAATAATTACAGGAAAGACTTCCACAATTAAAACATTTTTTCTTTTCTATATCTTTTTCAAAATGTGTTTCTTGTAGACAAAGTATAATAGATTCTTAACTTTGAAAATAGATTTAACACATCACGTCTTTTAGCACTATCATTTAAACCTCTGTAATATTCTAAGATAATTTTGAGATACTCATTGTATATTGATTCATAAAAACATTTCCTTTTATTTATACAATACAAGTAACAACTACATGTAACTACTGTAAATATATAAACCCTATAAAAAGCTCTTTAAACATCAACAACATACAAATACAAGAGCCCTTTGATCCGGTTGATGCTCCTCGATTAGGTTTTGGACACAGAAAAGTGTACCTCTTGTAGTTTGAGTCCTGACCAGGGCAAAGTTCAAAGTGCAATAATTCCAAGATTAGGTTAGGCAGAGTAACTTTTATTTGCACTTTATAATAACGTATTGATGTCTTTCTACCTACAAAGTTTCATGATGATATCTCTAATAATCTTATAGTTATGGCCCGGACAAAGTTCACAGTGTAAACTTGAAAAGGGCAATAACTCAAGAAATAGGAAAAGCAGAGTTATGATCCATTTGCACTGCATCTTAACGCAATTACGTATATCTTCCTATGCAGCAACATGTTGATATCTCTTATAGTTTTACAGTTATGTCCCTGACAAAGTTCAAAGTGAAAAAATGAACAAAGGGCAATCACTCGAAAAACAAAAAAATAGGCAAGGCAGATTAACGTTGGTTACGTTTGTACTGCTAATCTACCCAATGAGATCTACCTACAAAAGTTCTTGTTCATATCTCATATTGTGTCAGATTTTTGTTCAGGACAAAGTTCAAAGTGTAAAAATAAACAAAGGGCAATAACTCCAAAATTAGGGACGGAATAATTATGATTCTCTTGCACTGCACATCTACCCAATGCGATCTACTGACAAAAACGTGTTGTTTATATCTTTTATATGTTCAGAGCTATGTCTTGAAAATGTTCTAAGTGTAAAAAAATAACAGATAACTCCAACATTAAGCAAGGATGAGATATGGTTATTTTGCATTGCACTTCTACTCAATGAGATTTGTCTACCTAAAATGTTCATGATGATATCTATAGTGCAAGACTCATGTCCCAGATAAAGTTCAAAGGTAAAAATGAACAAAGGACAATAGCTCCAAAATAAGGCAAGACAGAGTTATGATTCTTTTGCACTGCACATCCACTTACCCAGATCTATCTACCTACAAAGTTTCTTGTTGATACCTCTTATGGTTACAGAGTTATGGCCCGGCTAATGTTCAAAGTTTAAAAATGAACAAAGCGCAATGACTCCAAATTTAGGTAAGGCAGAGTTATGGTTTGTTCTTTTGCATTGTATTTTAACTCAATGAGATTTATCTACCTACAAAGTTTAATGTTGATATCTCTTATAGTTTCAGAGTTATGTCCCGGACAAACTTCAAAATGTAAAAAGAACACAATAACTCCAAAATTAGAGAAGGCAGAAGTTCGGATCTTATGCACTGCACAGCTACCCAATGCGATCTATCTGCTTTTCAAGTTGGTTTAAAGTTGACAGACGGACATTCGGACGGACGGACGGGAAAATGGCGACTATATGCTCAGAATAAAAAGCATTGTTACACAATTTATCTAAAGCTAAATTAAATATAATATGTTGATGTGAGTAAAAAGTGTTTTATTGTATAATCACAATCACCTGATAAATGTTTTACTATTGTATGATCACAATCACCGTTAAATGCTTAATTATTTGATAAAAGTATTTAATGAGTGATGGTTTAAATAATCATATATCATATGGTACCTTTTATTCCAATATGGAAGAAACATAATATTATGATATGGTTGCAATGTGGTAGGTCAGAAATGTATCATTGGACACATTTCAATGCTGAGAAAACAAAAGTTTTCTGGATAAAAAGGTGCCATATCCCTCTTTTCCCACTGAACTATTTACAATTTGGTAAAAATCGTTGAAGGTAAAAGGTGCCACATTGTACACTTTTCATCTACGATATTTTTATAATTTCATGAGAGCTTAAAAATGCCACAAAATAAATTTATTAAATTAATTAATTAATCCTTTATTACGGAATTTGTTTTAAGGATACATCTCCCCCTACACTGACATATGTCTATAACTTTGTTTAATAAAAATGATATCAAATAAGTTTCCAAAAAGAGTCTTGATTTTATTGGGCAAAATATTTTAAATCTTATATGTTTGTTTTCTTTTGTTTATCCGTTAAAGGCATTTGTTATATTGAGAAGAAATATGATTATGTTAATACCTGCTTAATACCGAGGCCTTTGTTTATAACCTTTTGCTCGTAGCCATATAATTAAATACGGCTCTTGCAAAATCTTGACAGTTTCTATCTAAGTAATGGTATTCTTTGTTCAGTTCGTTACTTTTAAAAAGTAAAACGATCAAATCCATTATACTTCTACATCCTGTATCGTTTATCAGTTCTTTCGTAGACGGTCTTGGAACTCGTCGATAATTATTCAGAACGGCATCCCGAACTTTGCTCCGTTGAATAGTGAGACCTTCAGAATTCTTTTCGATCGACCACCACCAATCGTGTGTTTTAAACAATATAAACATATGATAAAATATGTTGAGATCATGGGGCAGCCAGGAAAAAAGGTCATGTTTATAAGCCCAGACATAGTCTACGGTTTCGTTGACATCCAAAAGTGTCTGGAGTTTACCAAAGAGTTCTTCATCCTCTATTTCATATTGACAACTAGAAATTTTGTCAGCTTCAGGTATGAAATAAATTTTATAAGTCCAGTTTGCTCCTTTCTTAGCACCGGAAGCAGGTAAACTTTCAAAACTCATATCTAGCAATAAAAAAACATTTGGTTATATCCTAATTGTCAAACAAGATTTACATCATTAGTTAAATAGCAAAGAAATAAAAAGAAATAAAAAAGTATTCAAATAATCGTGCCATAATGATCAAATAAAAAATATAATTGAAATATTACACCAAAACCCAGTTTGTGCTTGATAAAATGCAACTTAATAGCTTGATCTTCATTTTTTTACTATTCTAACTTCCAATATCAAATTAAATTTAAGTATCAAGGTAAGTAATCTCTAATTTGTAATACGTATCTTAGTTTATTGCTTTAAAGACACTTTAAGCTTCGGAAATAGATTGTAAATAGATAAAAATTGTTGAAATGTTTTAATGATGGTTTCTGAATATGTGAGATTCTTATCGTTTGCAGAAAAGTAAAAGCTTAACAAATCACAAATTTTAACATTTATGGCTGATGGATCTTCCGTATATGGCCTACTATTCAATGAACAAAAATCGTATCTAATTTAATAAACAAGAATATTTTCATTTCTCTTTAAAGTCATCATTCAATTATTATAAGATATATCGGATATAAAAAAAACTCGTCTTATATACACAATCTTAAAAAATGAGTTGGTACATGACTAGGATATGTGGCCTGCTTTTTAAATTTGTCTTTTGACGTATTATCTGTGCTATGCAGGCTTCATAACCCCTGATCCCCTTTCGAAATTCCATTTTATTTAGTTCCACCCATTGTTTTCTCGTTTAGGGCACACGCATTTTTTTACTTGAGGACCATTTGCCGCTTTTCATGGAATGGCACTTGCGTGTCACATTGCACGTTTCATGATAATCGCCATATGAACACATCTGCGGATGTTTCAAAATTCAAAATTGTACCAGTTCATGTTAAATGTTGAAGTCTGTTTAAGCCGGTGCTAGGGGGCGTGGACGGTAATTTGCACTTGGCAAGACCGTCTACGAACAGGATCAATCATACCGAGCCTGCAACATTTTCAATTTTGCCGTGTTTGGCTTTCTTTAGGGATTCTAATTTTCTCTATTGGTACCTGTTGCTGTTAAAAAGGATTATAAAATAATATACGTTTATTTGTTCCGTGTTTTGGAAATTGAATTATTTGGAAAAAAGTGACCTCTCGCAGCAATAATCGCAACAAATGTACATGGAAATTGCACACTCGGTTTGACATGAAAGTCGGCATTTCATATTCGATTTGTCTTGTAGCTCGTCTTGTAATATGTTGAATAATCTTAAATTAATTAAAGAGAAGAAAAGTGCAAAAAGCTACTTACCGAACTGTGTATTTTATTCCTGTAGAAGGGTAACGTTCTTGATGATTGCTCTATGCCTATAAAATATATTTTGTACTTATAGTTCAATAATTTAGACAAACGAATCAATAATTCGTATAGAGTTTTGCATGATCAATTCATTTAAAAAAAGATATGAATGCCAGCAAATTCGTTTATTGGTTAACTACTTCCTACTCGCAAAGGAATTAAAAAACACTTATTTATCTTTTTAAACAGGTGAACTGAAACTAAAGTTTATAAATCTAATTTCTTTAAAGTCGTTTATAAACATAATTATGCCTTCTATTCATCATTATATTTACACAAAAGTTGATATTTTATTTTAAAGAACTGGGAAATCAGTTTATTTGTTAAAATAATAAAAAGAGTGAATTTACTATATGAAGGTGAAGTCAATTTTGGTTTCCAAAATTACATGTTTTTAAAATATCTATGGGGCGAAAACACGAAAATACGCCTTAGTCATCATTCTGTCGTTCTTTTACTCCGTTGCGCGAGGAGATGATAATATGACAAAGTCGTGTTTTTGCCTGGCGGTCACAGGACGAAAATATGACAAATTAGTTGATTGTCGTGCCTTTTCGATCTACGGAGCGAAAAAAGCGACAAAATATTGACTTTGTCGTGTTTTCGCATTTTCACCTACGTGTAATGTCATGTGTGTCAATACATTACGTATTGATTTGTATGCATTTAATTTGTATTGATGTATATTGAAAGCTACTTTCATTTATAATTTCATTCTTTGCTATGAAGAAACATTAAATATTGCCTTTCCGTCATCATAAAAATAAATAAAAACATGTAAAGTTATATATTTATGACACAGTTCAGACAGCCAAGTGCCTACTCTAAATTATCCATTAAACAATTTCATTATTTTTTTATTGTTATCCTTTTGGGAGTACATCTAGCTCCTTTGAAGAATCCTTTGAACTGTTTATTTTGAGACAATATTGGGACTTAATTGTTGTTAAAGAAGTCAAGCGTGAACTTCTGTAAAGATTATTACTTTGAACAGTGGCGACTCAAAAGTCAGTACCGGTGTAGCAAGAATTTATTAGAGATTTAAATTTATCATTTTATAAAAACGTGAAGGCAAGGACTCAATATTTTACCATCTATATAAATGAATTATCGTGCTGGTTACGGAGAAGCCTAAGGACAATATTTTAGTCATGATTTAAATCGGGTTGATCAAATACCGGTATGTCTTGGCATTCAATAATTTCAATACTTTCGTGAATTCAAAATGTTTGAAATGAAATTGTTTTATTTGTTACAAGAAACAAATCTTGTTTAAACAAATTAATTATTGACAATCTATCCTTTAAGAAAAATGTATTAAAAACCGACAAAAATCAATCAATAATTTTTATATAAATCAGAACGTAGGAAAGACATTAATTGATAACGTTCTATAAAATGAAAAACAATCTCACACAAGAAAAACTTTCCCACCTCATCCCAGAACAAACACAAACAGATACCAACTTCGAAACCCTAATGACATTCCTTACATTCATGCTAGAACTCAACTATATAAGGACTCATTTCTACTCTCCGTAATAAGAGATTGAAATACTCTGCGGATCTGAAAACCTTAGATTTGTTGATAATATAATAGATTTAAACGTGTTTGCTTCGCGTCGATTTACGTCGAAGCGGCCCGATATTACTGTTTACTAGAGTAAATTACTCCACGCTATCTAAGACCAAAATTTCAAGCACTGTTGCAGCAACATCTAATAATAATTATTATTACATATATATTGCTTAATTTTTACATTACTTATCGAATTTCAGCTTTTTTTTCTTCCAACACCTTAGGAAATGAATCAACATCAGATATCTGCCACTTTAAATAGATATATGGACACTCTCTTTAATACAAATTCTTTGTCAAAATTGTGTTCAGATATCAGTTGATAAATTTTCAACTTTATTCTTTTATCATTAGATATCATTTCTTATATTGCTGTAAAATTTATGTATTCAAAGGAAAATATACTGATGTCCCTTGTTGTGACACCCTCATTAAATCCGTTACAATACAGACAAGAAAAGCATTGATGCAAAGCATCAAAGGGCGTCCAAGCAAGAAATGCAGCAAGTGAAGATGAACTAGTAGACATATGATGACAAGATATTCTTATAAACTATATCACTTATGAATGAGCGGACAAAAGACAATGTTCATTATGAACTTTGATTGGCATGCTAGAGATTAGAATATTAATTGTTATTTCTTTATGATCGTGGATATTAATAGCAACGGATATACATGTGTACAACCATTTATAATCCATATGTGTAACGCATGATCAACACGTACCACACTTGTGTAATTGTCCCTTATTATGTTATCGCTATTAGCGAAGACCCCCTCCCCCCTTAAGGTATCTCTTCACACTTAGTAAAAGTATGACACTGGTTATATTACCATGTTGATCATGTTGAGCATAATTGATTGCAATATCTATTAATTTTAATAAAATTTTAATCTGTTCTTTTTTGTGTTTTATGTGCTATTTTAATACTGAGTTTTTATGTTTACTACTCTTTTTTTATCAAAATTGTAAAATAAATATTAAAAATTCAATTGTCATACATGTATTAACCGACGATTATAAGTCAAAACTTAACTGGAAAAAGTCAGTAAAATATTGTTACTCTTTCAATATATAATATTGTTTATTCTAAAACCATGTACATGTACATTTGTATTTTTCTTTATCATTTTTAAAATTATCAATCAATTGAATAATTCATAAAATCTAATTTGTAATTTTGAATAATTCCTCGGCATCTTTACTAAACACGAATAACAAATTAAATAAAATGTTTCAAAGTTGATAACGTCATATTAGAACCATAAAAATGTACCCTTTTCTCAATTATTGTACATATTTATTGTTTTTATATCATATACATAAAATGAAACATGCTATTGTTCTTGTTGTTGTTGTTTGTTTCGAATTGTTATCAAACATGTACTCCAAAACCGGGAGAGACCGGACAATAAACCTGTGGTACTATTCGCCGGTCACTAGTAAATCGCGGTCAAAATAGACCGGGAAAGACCGGGAATTACCAATAGGAGTGATAAATAGATATATCTATAAATAGATTTTCGGAATATTTAGGTCATCAACAGATCATTTTAGGATACATGTACAACAATAACATACCATGATAACCCACTGTGTACTACAAAATGATAAATAAAAACCCCGAAGAGCGAGATTTATTGACGGAAAAGGTTATTTCATTTGAAAATGTTTGCATTGCGAAATTCTCCAGTTCGCTGTTCATTGTAACATATCGCGACATTTCAATCAAGCACCCTCATACCGATCGGAATGCTCGGCTTTTATTATGACCGACTTAAAGGCTCGAGAAGTTGTTGTCGCCCTTTCACAAAATCTGATTTCATTCCATAAGAGGCGCCGCGCTTCGGCGCGGACGCCATTAATTTACATTAAAAACTGTTACAGTTAAACACCTATTACCACAGAAAACATTGATAATGTTTTTCCAATTCATCTTTGCATTTGTTAAAATCGAAAGCAATAATGTGCTTTTTTATTTTAAACTTGTATTGCTAATGCTGAATTATTTCTTTTGTTGATGAAATAATCTACTAATAAAATACCTAAAATAATTTTGAAAAAAAAGTAACTCACCAGACTATTCAGTTTCTTGTTAATGTTATGAAAAAAAAAAAAAAGAATTCCTTGTATTTCTATGATCCGTTTCATTATCTCCACCGTTTGTATAACTTCTTAAATTCAACATTTGGAAATGCATTTGCAAAATAAATGATTAAAGGAAAGATTAAACATAATTTATGTTTCCTTTGTATACAGTTACGTTATTTTTCGTTTGAAGTGTATTGATTTTCAATCTTTATGAATACAACTGACGTAGTTCATATCATTAAAACATTTTAACTACAGCCAAAAGGTAATTATAATAATATTTCTCATTGAACATTTTTTGGGTGATTTCAATTCAATGTAGTCTTGAACAACTATGAATGATTAATTGAAAATCTATTCAACCATTTTGACAACAAGTCCAATTATAGAGCATATTTATTTTGCATGTAAGATCAAAATATATTTCACAGAGTTAACAATAGACGCAATGTTTCACGAGTGGCTTAATATAAAATGGTATAACAGCTGGTTTAGAGGAGTAATATATAATTTGATCTTAAATGCAAAACAAACATATTTTCTTTTTATTCCGCTCGTTTTAAAATCATTTCGAATTATTTGTCCGCGTAACGTCATTTTCTTCATGGAGTTTTGATATTCATGAAACAAGACATACACAAAATGGCCTATAAACGCGAACAAACGTGAGAATAATCAGTTAATGCAGATTAAGGACATTTGAAATAGTTTTGAAATTAAAGCAAGTACGGGGCTAAGTATAAGGCACAATGAGAAATGTTAATAGGAATCCTTTACGATTCTGCATCGCATTTATAAGATTTCTTTCATCTCATGTTGTGATTTAGATCCATAGAGTTTTGTATGATTAAGAATACGAAAACTACGGCAGCTAAAAGGTACCACCATTACATTTTATTACGCAAAAATAAAACGCCTGACAAAATCTTGTATTATGGTCGATTTAAAGGTAGTGTTTAATCAATTAATAAGTTGCAGCACCTTAAAATCAGTTTTTAATCTTGTATTTTAATTCTCATCAACAATGTTCAGATCATTTGCTTTGTGTAAGGAATTAGGCTGACAGACTCGTTCTGAAGGGTATGTTTCTTGTGGCAGTTTCCTTTAAGCACAACTGCAATAAAGGAAGTTGACTTATGTCATTGAAGGATTCGTGTTTTGAGTTCAATCATTGAGTGGGCGCACATATGTTATTCTTTGAAATAAGTTAACTTAACCATTTACTCATAAAAGTCTATTACGCTTTTTAAGACACATTTTTTAAGACTGAACTGGTAAAAAATGCCCTATTAAAGCCCCCGAACAATTGTTTCGTCCTGGGAAATGTTATTTAGAAAAGTGATAACTTTTTCGGCGCCATCCCTTATCAAATAGATACATTTGTTGGTACCAGAGTGGGATGTGCTCCCTTCTTTTCGGGGGTTCGAAGATGGGCTGCAGTCTCCCTCATCTTTAAGAACATTTTGGACTTGTTAGAGGTTAAAAAAGATCCTCAGGTCGATTTTAAGGTAGTGTGTTATCAACGCTGAGTAGCCTTTGACTCTTAAAATCAGTTTTTAATTACAAAAGAACCGCAAAATAATGAATTTTGGCAATTTTAAGATACCCCCTCGTTGCCAGTGTAATAGGAAATTTAAGACTGAGCATTTCGTCATAAAGGCAGTGTTCCAGGCAATATTTGTGCCAAGTTTTATATGTATTGAAGCATTTTTATAGTTTCATAGCAATTGAACTTGTAACAGGAAACTTTTCGATGAAAACGGCCATTTTTCACTAAATGCTCAGGCGGTAATGGAGATAAATTGTTTGTCTCTCGGCGTTTATTGATTCTGACTGTTGTTTACAAAGGCGCATTTTTACAAAAAAAGATGCATATAGATTGTTACTAAAACGATAATTGCATTTCGTTTATCACGTGATATACGAGAGTTTATTTTAGAATGCATCCTGGTAGTATGTACACCCATTCATTGTTCGTAAAGGAGATAAAATGTAATCAAATGGTCAGTGTAGGAAACTTTATAAATTATATGTCATAACGGTACAGCGTATTTTTTGTTTTGGCAATAAGAAAGCATTTATTATGAATACTAACACTTAAGGACACAATAAATAAAAAAAATCTCGAAATATCATAATATTATCTGTAAATTAATACTAAAAACAGATACCATCCTATCAATAAGGGTATATATACTCGAAACCTGGTAATGAACATATGTAAATGATAAACAAATCTTACAGCGTTTGGGACAAACTTTTGTGATTAATATTAAAAAGTAGTGTTCGGACATCGAATACTTTGAAAAGTACTTTGATAAGTTTATACTTTCTATCTCATTTCTGAATTCATTAATGCAATAAATTTAGTTATATTCTTTTCCAAGATAACGTTATCCTAGACTTGTAGTTAATTTATTTGTGTAAGATCGAGCTCAAAGATGGATCATCTCCGGTCAAAAACTAGGTCACAGGAGCTAAAAATAGAAAAAGCTTTTAACACTCTAGTGGCTGCAGTTTTGATTCAAACATTCTGGAAATTTGTCTGGACGTCTTTTTTTATGATTTCTGGATCAAGTTCGAAGATGGGTTATATCCGGTTAAAAACTAGGTCACAGGAGCTAAAATAGATAAAGCTTGTTAACACTCTACTGGCTGCAGTTTTGATTCAAATATTCTTGAAATTTGTCAGGAAGGTTGTTTTGATCATTGGTATAACGTTTATCTATGGACCTTTTTTGCACAGAAAAGGCCCACAGGGACTGTACAAGTTAATTTTTGCACGGATTTTCATAATTCGTAAACATGTTTCAATCATAGTTTTTTCTGTTGTTGTTGTTGTTGTTGACATGTCTAAAACATCATCTCATCATTGCTTCATGTCCTTGCTGATCTACATATGACCAATCTACTATGGTCAATGAAGATGATAGCCACTGTCATGCTATGTCAAACCCTATATGTGTCCTGTCGATTAGAGTCCCAAAACGTGCAGTATTTGCATAGTTGTTATCCCATATAGCAAGGATCTCTAGGTCGCTTTTCAACGAATACTGCTGCGGCTCCAAAATTTAACGAGGAGAAGCTGTTACTTTTTATAGGATACAGATCCTTAATTATCTGGCATGCATAAGTAAAATGCATTATTCTTTGCAATACAAACACATGACGGTAAGAAAACAGCCAGACGATAAGAAAACACACATATAGTGAAGAATACCATATTATTCTAAATTAGAGTTTGTAACCCTTTATTAATTTCGATATATTTTGTTCACGGTAAACCTGTTGTTTAACACTGAAGTAAATAATCACGGAGCTTAATGTAAGCATGTATATAAGAATAACACAATATTAGAAATCTTCGACCAATCGGGAACTATTTTTTCTTTAGGAAAATTAATGCGCCTGCCATTTGACAATCTTTACGCAGTGATCTCCCCTTAATTTATCGGCGTTAATGTACATATGAAGGGAAGTAACCGCTTCGAGGAGTTTGGACAACTTTCAGCATTTGCAAATAAGTATATCAGGGTCTGAAATTTCTCTACCATTTTTTGTTTGGTCTGACGACCCAAACAAATAAAAACACATAACAAAATGGTGTATATAGTTATAGTAATCAGATTTGATGTTCGTTTTGCAATAAATAACTGTTCATGTGTCCGTCCGTATAAACTTTCCGTCTGTCCGCCTCTGTCTTCTTGGCTGTATATATGTCTTTTGTCCGTCTGTCTTTTGTCAATTGTTGTATATTCTTAGTCTGTAAGAACATATGTCTATATGGGTTTTATTGTCTGTCCATCTGTTGTTAATCCTGATTTAATACTACATGTATTGAAATTATGCGTTTATTCGTTTTCATTCAAAGAATATGAGTAATGCATGCAGCTCTTATTTTTGGTTTAGCAAGATCAAATATATATTTATGGGAAAAAAAAAGTCAACAACTTTTCATTGACGATACGGTGACACATATGAGGATTAAACATTGCATTTACGTACTGGAATCTTTTCAATAATTTTAATAATAATATTAATAATAATGAGGATAATGATGATGATGAAAATAATAACTTTGCATTTATCCAGAAATATTGTTTCTGATTTTCAGGAACCTTACAAGTCGAATGCTTTACAATACATGATAGCAAATATGAAGCAGGTACGTATATTAACATAATACGTTAATATACGTACCTTTATGAAGTAACCTCTGTTACAAAAAGGTATGATTCTATTTAAAATATATGTAACTGCATCGCTCATGTGAAAAAAATGTCAAAGTATTCATTATTGCGAAAATAACTGAACAAAGATGCCTGTTACGCACCGGTGCTTAAATACTTAATATTTTTGAAACGGAATAGTGAGGAGCATTCCATTTTAAGCATACTCATGTAACGTGATATAACATGACAGAAAATTACAACAAAAATGTGTTGATCTGTTTCTACTGTTACAGATTTGCCACATTTTAAAGTTAACGAAAAACAACGCACCCTTCATAGCAATTCGGAAAACAAAACACTATTTTTCAATTTAAACTACAGCACATGTTCTTTTTTACTATCTACATAAGTTTAGGTAAGTTTGATTTTATTTAACATCTAATCACGTGTTAATAGCCCAGCGTTAGTCTCGGGTATCATTATGTTCCTCGGGATGATATTTTTACATATATAAGTATAGATTCCAATATTATAATTTACGTGCAAAAATTTCTGGTGGAAAGAGCTCATGAAAATAACTCCGAATGTCATTAAGCTTGGTTCTGTGGCGACGTCTCATTTCTCTATCTTTGTAAATTGCAACTATTATTACGTCGATTACCGCTACGATGATTGTAATCCCCCATGCAATGGGCACGTTCGAACTGTTAATTCTTTGTTAACTGCTAAGCGATGTTCAAATGGTCAAGAAAGAATCGGCGTAAAGTCTGCTCACTATTTTCTCACGTTTCTTGTTTCGGTTCAGGAATATTACCAAATATTATATTGTTCCGCATGCTTTGTGATTTGACATACAGTAAATCGTGGTGGACCTGCTGGAAACAAAAATGCGAAAAACATATCAACTATCTGATGCACTACACAAACTTTCTAAGGAAAGGAAAGAAATATGCAGACAGTAGAGGAGTGT